TGTGTGTGTGTGTGTGTGTGTGTGTGTGTGTGTGTGTGTGTGTGTGTGTGTGTGTGTAGGACTTGGATTTAGGCTTAGTCTCAGCAAACACAGCATACAGTACATATTCATTCACAAGTTCCCCAGCTCATGCCTCACAGAATTGTGGGCTTTTACTTTGAGAGGGTGATAGGAAAATCAATCTGTCCTGCCCTTTAAAACAATTCAAAGTTGTGGACTTTCTCAGGGGGCTAGAATAATCCCACTCGCTGAGGTCTTACAAGCAAGACACTCTGCTTTAACTATCAATCCAATATTTCTCAAATTCAAGAAAACTCATTGTATCTGCCAAAAAGAATGTTATGATATAGGACAGGGATCTGCAACCTACGGTTCTAGGGCCAAATGTGGCCCTTTTATCACTCTGCAGGGGCTCTTTGAAGCTTTGACCAAAGCTAACATGACATTAGGTTCTTGAGATTTAATAYTAACAACAGAAAAGGCTAGCTTTACATGTTTTCCTTTTAATTTGTTTGCAAATATGTGATCAACACTAATAAGTGAAACATGATGATTAGATCATGCTAATAGCCTGTTAGCCACTTTAATAATCTAACTTCCAGTCATAACCCATCAGGACTACCTTTAAAGACCTTTAATACGAGACTTGATAATAACAAGAATTAAGAACAAATATATGCCTATATAGTCCAGTTGTAGTTTTTATTAAATGTGGTTCAAACAAGTTATTTTTCTTCTTTACATGAATGTATTTTATTTTGTCCTGAATTGTAAAAGTAATAATAAATGTAAAATGTGCTTTATATATTTTTTTATTTTACGGTGTTACCCCCACTGGCCAAAAAGGCCCCCATTCAATGACCTTGAAGTGGCCCATGGACCACCAGTTGATAATCACAGTTGTAGCACATTTTGCAGCTCAGAACACTGTTTATTAGTGAACCAAGCAGCAGAAATGGCTCTTTTGGTTGTAAAGGTAGCAGACCCCTGATAACGGAGTACATGACATTAATTATTGAGTATTTCACATTTATGTTACAGCAAAAGGATGGTGTCCTTCTAACATGACCATAAATTTAAAACATATTAATATTCAAGCCAATAAGCATTACTTTCTGACAGTTATCAAACACCATTTTGTGTTCCTACTCATAAACAACAGCCACCTGCGACAAGATAAGAGTAAGATGAGAGCTCCAACCTGGTTTCATTGAAAATTAGATTGCTCAGTAATCCGTGGAAAACAGAAAGAAAGTGTAAAAGCAGAACTGCGGGGCAAACATGAAGAGGATTACAGATGGATTACCTGTGCTCTGATTCATGGATGGAGAATATCACTCCTGATGTGGAGGACTTCTGCTGGATGGTGGCCAAGAAGGTAAATTCACTTTTACTCCTGAACAGTTGCACCACTTTTTCTGTGATATGTGGCGGGGCATGAACTGCTCTTCCAACATCTGTGAAGATATGAAACAGAGAAAAATCATAAGCTTGTGTCTGAATGAATTTGCCAAAAAAGATGAAAAACCTGTTATAATTACCATAAAGTGTAAACCTTTGCACTTGCATGTCTAAAACATCCTGGCAGATCCATCTGACGAAATATGTTTTATAAAAAAAAATATCTAAGCATCCCACTGGGCTTCATGCAACAACCTAAAAGCATGACAATAAATTTTGCATGGATATGTGCATTTGTTTAACCCCAAAGATATATCTGTCCCTTGTAGCTAGAAAGATGTCAGAGTGAGTGGGAAAAGTAGAAAAATGTGAAATACTATGAAAAGTTGAGTGCAAGCAAACACTGTCATAGCCTGTCTTTAAATGATCATTTTGGAACATTGTAATCTCATTTTAGACAATAATTTTAAACACCATATTTTTTAACATAAWCCCCCAAAATTATAGCTGATTTCCAACAGAATAAAAAACATGATTGTTCAAACAGTTTGGTCATAATAATGCAACAGTTGGAACTTGCAATAAAAACCTCTGCTCCTCTAATGCACAAGTTTAAAAAACAAAACACAAAAGAGTCAGACTACTTCTTCTTGCCAATGTAGATGAAAATCACTTTAGACTTTAAGTTCTATTGTCGATTTAAATATTTCACTTTGACTGCTGGTTTCACTTAACTCATCTGCCAAGGAAAATTTATTTAAGCAGAGAGAAAAACAAAATGCAGACTTTTTGATAAATTATCCAAAAAGATCTAATGCTTAATCAGAAAACAAATAAACAAAATAATCAAGAACCAACCATAGTTTCATTTTCAWCTCATCTTCACCTGCTCTGCCACAAGAACTAAGTTCCCTCCCCGTTCTCCTTTCCTTCCCATGCTCCTCTGTGCTGCAGGTGCTGTTATCTCCACCCCACATTCTGACATTCTCCACAACTGACAGTTTGCATGAACCCCAACCCTGACTTGTGAGTAATATAAACTTTTTGTGAAAACTACAGATTTTTTAAGGGTCAAGATACAGATAAACGCCCATAAAAACCTCCAGTACTTAATAGATTAGCTTAAACATTAAGGAGTGATTCACTGAAAACTTTTATTTAATCACGTTGTTGCTTTGTGAAAAGTAAAAATAYCCCATATCTAATCAATAAAAATGAGGCAACAGATGACAAGCAATATCATTAATTAAATTTCAGACTGTTAATTATTAAGTAAATATTAATTAAATCAGACTCTTAGTGATTCATTTATTTTAAGTAGATTTAAATAAAAAACAGCACAGATTTAATTAAAACCTAAACAAAAATACTGAGCTGATTTAAAAAAGATATTGTGTAAACAGTAATAA